AATGCTCAAAGAAACATTGGGAGTTAAGGGATCACTTGTTTAAGTTTGTTCCTGTAATATTGAAACATCTTTATTTGTATTTACCAGTGGCGCACCCAGAGAATATGTTTGGGGGGCTCGTAAATACCTACATATAGGTTCTGGATTGTGTCTAAAAATCTAAACAAAAAATTGAGGTGTCAAGGTGCCACGCCCTGATGTTGCCACATTTTCTTATACGTAAAAATACAGACTTGGATAGCGGCCTAGGGGGGGGGGGGGCAACCCGATGCCCCCCATGGATGCGCCACTGATATTTACAATTAATTACGGGCGGCGCTAACATAAGAACCATTTTATTTTATTTAAACGAGCATTTCATTTGATTTTTTATGCCTATCTATAATTGAGTTGAAATGTATCTATCTATTTTCTTGATAATCTCATGCAGCTATTCTTTTAATAGCATATCTAAGTCACTGGGGGCCCGTTACCTTAGCTGGGATTAGATATAAACCAAAATTATGATTGCTCAATGAAGAAAGTGTACTCTAAAGTTTTAGGATATGGTAGGCCCCAATACCAGTAACAGAGCCTATGACAATAGTTAGATATGTTATATTCAATTACAAACAACTATATTAAATATATCCTATTTACAATCCGTAGTCCAAAGGTAAAGATGAATTTATCACCTTTCGCTATCAAATTAATAGCACTGAGAAGTGATACATTTTACCTTTACCTTTGGACATCGGTTTGTGAATAGATAATACTAAATTTTAGTAATATTCAGAAAAAAATTGAACAAAAATGCAAGACCGCAAGACTCTTGCATGCTCGGTCTTGGTCTTGCGTAAGTCTTGCAATGCTAAGTCTTGGTCTTGCACTGCTCGGTCTTGGTCTTGGTCTTGCAGTTTAATAGTGGTCTTGGTCTTGCATTTTCTGCAAGACCAAGACCAAGACCGCAAGTCGAACACCAGTCTCGCTCATCACTAGTTAGTTAAACCAAACGGCATACGCCTAAATTGAAATAAACCATCGGGACAGTAAAAGCGGTCAGAGGTTTTGATTCCTCAGAAATTGGAATCTACCATTATGCTGTCTTAATGTCCAACGTGCAGAGAAAACGAGGATCCCGCAATTTGTCAAGCATAGCTGAGACATAAGGTATGGGATAGGAGCCGGGAACCGTTACACGATTAGGTGCTCGATAATCCACACAAAAACGCCATCCACTAAGATGAGAGAATGCGGCAATGTCGGAACGATCAGTGCAAGGCAATCTTTCAACTGAAAGGGAACTCGGACCGAACCGATAACATCACACGTATCTCCATTAGCAACAGCGCACTGCGATTGTTGAGAGTTGAGTTTGCATAAAGACTTCAGAGCTTTCCAACCTCTCCTCTAATGATGGTTCTAGAGGCACCACTGTCCAATTATCCCAGAAATGATAGACCGAAAAGACGGACTGTCAAGTAGGGTCGCTCACCGTGTTTGGCATGAAAAAAAACGAAGTTCAACAAAATCTGAGATAGAAGGGTGGCCTCATTAGTTGTTACTTGAAGGCAAGACGCTCGGCATAAGTTCTCACCTTCTGTTCGTTTTTTGAACAATGCGGATAGGACTTGGACGTAACGTCACTTTTACCGCAACGGTAGCAGAAACGGTTACAAGGTTGTTCACATTGGTTGAATCGATGACCTCATCTGACTCCTGTTTCTTCTATGCCTCGAGCAAGGCGAGCTAATTCCTGGACAGATACAAAATTTTGGGTGGCCATACAAGTCTGGAAATAGGGTAGTGAGTTACGATGCACCAACTGGAGTTTAGTTGACTCAGAAGGAATTTAAGGCAATTTGCGGTATAAATTTTCCATGGCGACAACAAAACTGATGACTTTCTCTTGAGATCCCTGAGTTCTTCGCCGAATCTCATCCTAGAGTGAAAACTCGTAGTCATAAGGCATAAAGGTATCACGGAGTTGAGCGACTAAGTCATCCCAACTATCAAAAACATCAGTTCGATACCAAAGAAGGGCATCTTTTGTAAGAAATTTTGAAGCAGAGCGAAGTAATTGTTCTTTGGAAACTCCTCTAGAATAACGCATTTTTTCGACTCTTTCTAAAAAGTTCGACAAACTTCCCTGACCCTCATATTTTAGGGACAATATCTACTAATTTCCTTAAAACTAGGAGTATGTGGCTTTGAGTGAGAAAAGGAGGAGCCATGGAGCAGGGATCATTGCAGTTCCACCATTCTCCTGGCAAAACCTGGAATTGAATCAGTTAGTGCAATTGTCTCATGCTGAGTGGAGTTTGCACGAGAAGCAAAACTTTCGGGCTCAGCAAATCGTACACGAGAGTTATTGGCTTCAGCGGAAGGCATTTCTTGATATCTAGTTTGTCTGATGCATTAGAATGTCTTTCATTGGGGATCACAAATGTGTTATCTCTGTCCTGGCGTAACGATAACTGTACCGCACTGTAAGGTAACCAAGAATGTCTGTTGGAGATCGAAGTAACATAAAGTCCAGTAGATGTGGGAACGGATGTTCGTGAGGACACTAAGTAACTGGGTAAATCCGCAAGGGAAGCGTCTATCAGAGAATGATGGGGATTATCCGTTCAAGGAGTAAGCACAGAGTGCGACGAATGGTCGGAGGATGCAAAATTATTGTTCTGAGCTTGCAGGGTATTCCTGGATAAATCGAAAGGGTCGTTCGAATAGGACTGACAACGTGATCCAGAGTACAGAAAATTAGAATAGTCCGAAGATTCTTTCGAAATCCTAAGAGCCGAAACCAATCTACGATCAGAACAAGGTTTGTGGATGGGAGGATCAGAAGCCTCTTGATGTGTCTCCAGCGGTGCTTGTCTGTCATTCAAGGAAATTAAATCATTGGATACCTTAGGTTCGGGAGAAACCAGTTCAGAAGTGTCCGTGTATTTTGAATGTAACCGTTGGGATAGATAATTGAAGCGTTCCCATAAATTATTCTTCAGAGTCTGATCAGCATTAGTGTCGGGCAGTATTCGAATCATTATGAATTTAATGTGTTTAAGAAGTGTGCTTATTTTTTTGAAGTCAGAGTTCCTGACAGTTTACGAGTTTTTGGTTCAAGTGCTATCAAGTGCGAAGAGTACAAGATGCCGAAGCAGCTTAACTGCCGTTGCAAAGAAGTAATCGCATCCTTGTTACAATATTTCGAACGAGAACGCGATAATAATGGTCCTTCATGTCCCAATGCTGTTAGGAAGGTGAGTTTACGAATCGTTGATGTCGTGTGACCAAATAGGAGTTTTCAATTTGAACTTTATTTTCTCTCATTTTTAGCGCGTAGCAAAGACTTTGAACTTAAGTATGTCCACCGTCTGTGTTATTTCAAAGGCAGTCAAAAATAACGAAGTTTTGGAATCGCCTTCTAAGAAGCGATGCACTTCGAAGAGAGTCTGTGATGTTTCAAAGCTTCTTTAGCAGTGCTATACGTAACACTATTCACGATATGTACACAAAAAGTAAATTGTTTGCGACAAAAGTACTTACATAGATATCTATGAATCGCCTTCTTTCTTCTGGTAGGACAACATGTAACATTATCTTGTATATGGGAGCATGGGAGCAATTGAAAGCGAAACAATTATTTGATGGCAGTCGCATGTCATTGACTAGAATGTTAAAAGAAATAGGCTTCAAATGGAAAAAAGATGACCCAAGACGAGGGCTCATGGAACTTCCTGATATTGCTGCTAAACGCATATCATTTTCTAGGTCTTATCTAAAACTGAAACAGGAGGCTTTGTACCAGTTTGTTTTCTTGGACGACTTCGAAGTGTTAAAACTACCAAAGTTGATGGTAAAAGGTGAATATAAACATAAATACAGAGAGCAGTTGTATTATATGTGTGTGTGAAATGCTTTTTTTAGATACATCATACATCATGCTGGCAATGAAAATGGATTCATTGAAGGTGCATTGCTCGTATTTTCATCGAAAAGTCAATTTAACGACTAGGATGGGGAAATGAATCAGCAAAACTTTTTACGTTATTTCGAAAATCAGCTGTTGAAAAACTTGAGTGAACCATTTGTTATTGTTATAGACATTGCTCCTTACCACAGCATGTTATTAAGGAAGACACCTAATAGTTCGTCTACTAAGGCTGAAATTCAAAATTGGTTAACCGAACAGAAAGTTGAGTATTCAAATACAGCATTGAAATCTGAACTTGTGACCATTGTTGCACGGTAGTACTCATGGTACCTACAATACCAAAATTGTATGCATTTTATGCTCAACTTCTCAAGTATTGCTTTTTCAGGAATAAACCAACAAAAAAGTATGTGGTAGATGACTTGGTAGAACAATATGTACATAAAGTTTTAACGACTGCCTCCATGCCACTGTACTTTTAACCCGATTGAACTTATTTGGGGAATTGCAAAAAACTATTATAACCGACATATTGGCAGAGATGGTTATACTCAAGATGCTTGTTTAAAAATGTGGTGAGAGGCATTGGAAACTGTTACCCCTGAAATGTGGAAAAATTCTTTAAGACATACAGAAGGAATAATTGACGAGTGGTATAACAGGGAACAAGTAATGGACAGGCAAGAGGTTCTTCCACTTATCATCAATTTTGATGAAGATTCTAGCGATTTCAGTGATCGAGAATAATTGAAAATATTCTTGATGGTTCAAATATTCATAATATTTAGTTATTTATAGTATTTAGAGTAGCTGTAAACATGTTACATGTTGTCCTAGAAGAAGAAAGAAGGCGATTCATAGATATCTATTTACCTTTGTCTCAATCGATTCACTTTTTGTGTACATATCGTAAATAGTGTTACGGAAGCACTGCTATCGAGCTTTGAAGCATCACAGATTCTCTTCGAAGTGCATCGCTTCTTAGAAGGCGATTCCAAAACTTCGTTATTTTGACTGCCTTTGAAATAGCACAGACGGTGGACATAGGTACTTAAGTTCAAAGTCTCTGCTACGCGCTAAAAATGAGGGAAAATATAGTTCAAATTGAAAATTCCTGGTCACACGACATCAACGACTTGTAAACTCACCTTCCTAACAGCATTTAAGGGACACAAAGAGAGGGCCTTTATTTCGCGTTCTCGTTCGAAATATTTGTAACAAGGATGCGAGTAGTTCTTTGCAATGAGTTGTTATTAAATATCTATTAAACCAAGCTTTGAAACAATGTTCATAATTTAAGTAATAAATGTTTGCATTATATTATAATATAATCCATTATTGTTCCTGAAAATATTTTAACCAGAGGAAAAAATGCAAGAGACGGCAACGCTGTGCCGGCCGAGCTTGACAACCCGACTATAAGTTTATTTGGTATGAACTATATATATAGAATGCTAGACACAGGTAAAATCCATCAAACTGACATTTTTCGAAGTTTCGCAGAACGTCAAAATTCGTCGTGAAAAAAATGGACCCATTAATTTTAACATCGAAGAAACTACCACTAGACATTTTTTTGTCCATCATGTTCATTTCGATTTACTTCTTTTTAATATGCGAGATTATGGCTTTGAAAAGAAAAGTGAGTACCATGGCTTCGAAGAAAGTGTTGCAAAAGCTTCTTCTATATGGTAAATATGCTTTATTTACTTATTTATACTGGGTATAGAGAATTGTAGTTAACTGTACGAACACCATGATATTATTGAGCAATCCATGAATAATGTAAAAGTAACACTACATAAAATAGTTTCTTGTTTTCAACAAGAATTCATCTTTTAAGGAGAGTATGTTCATTATGTGAAAAATAGACTAAGCTAAGTGTTAGAACTTATTAAAATAAAGATACACTCTCATTAACATGTATCAACTCTAAAGTGAGTTTCAAGGAACTTTATTTTTTCATGGAAATAGTAGGTACTTTTTGTTAGGGTTAATTTTTTTGAAGACATTTCATGATGTATTCAATTGAGACAATGGAAAATCTTGAACTTTCTTCTACACAACAAAAAAGAAGCTCGTAGTTTATTTCTTTGATTTGAACCAGAGATTCACGACTTGACTTGATTTTCAAGCTACTTGACTTGACTATCAAGTAAAAATCAAGTCAAGTATTTGTTTCTGAAATTCAAGTCAAGTCAAGTAGTTACACAACAAGTAACTTGAAAATCAAGCTTTTCAAACTAACTACTTGATTTTTCTTGAAAAAACAGTACTTTTTTGTTATTAATCGGATTAACTGCCAAAACGCAATAACAATAAATATATAGATGTAATCTTTTATTTAAAAAACATCTAAAAACGAAATCTCTTAACAAACTCAGTTAAATAATAAATGAAATAATATGATATAAAAATACGAAATATTCTTAATTCTGACAATAAAACAATAGAAAAACTACAAACATGAAAACAGTAAATATCTAAAATAAATCTTTAATATCCTAATTTTCCATCCATGATTTGACACACAAGGCTTCTCACGGAGTTATTGTCTAATCGATTTCTCGTTTTGGTAAGAGTTAAGGCAGCTCTAGAAAACTGCCTTTCAATTGGAGCTGAAGAAGCTGGCGTTGCCAAAAAGTCTTTGGCCATTGCGGCAAAATTGGAAAAAATGCATTCGTGTCTCTTCCACCATTCTAAAATATCTTCAGTACTGTCAGCTCTTGGGTCAGAAATATATTTGTCGATTTCGTAACGCCAGGCCATATCGTCGTATGCATTATGGGCAGGTTTTCTATTAAACAAACTTGGTAGGGCGGAATAAAAAATCCGGCACGCAGGCACTTGACCCTCCAGGGACGGGCCTGGCTGTAACCTCGGTGAATCCCCTATTTTAATGCTTCGATGTGCATTTCACAGATCGCTATCAAGTAACATCAAGTAGTTTGATTTTACTTGATATCAAGTCAAGTAGTTCAGACTGAAAATCAAGTCAAGTCAAATATCAAATTTTCAAAAGCTCGAGTTTTCAAGTCAAGTCAAGTATTTAAGAAAAAATTCAAGCTACTTGGTTTGATGAATCCCTGATTTGAACCATTTTTGAGAAATTAAAGAATAACCTAGCTCCGTTAACAAAATAATTTTTTCAATTTCTGAGGTCTCAATAAAGCTAGGTTATGATTATCCAAAAAGATTTTACTGAAATTAAAGCTAGAATAATCCTTAATGATCTTTCATTATCAATTAAATGTACAATACACAATATACATCTAACTCCGACATAAAAATAGGTGAATCCTGGTTCACAACATTGGAAAAACTCGCTTCTACTGTCTCTAATGTTGCGTTTTAATTTGCTTGCCGAAATAGAATCTATGGCACGGTTATTGAAGTCGAAAAAACTCGCACGAGATAACAAAAGTAAGCCACTCTTTTCCAAGCCATTGCTGCATAAAAGCAAATCGGACATAGGACCAAGATTGAGTCTCTCCCAGGGCGATAATGTAAGTTGAGTATATGTAGTATTATCAATTTTTTTGATGAAATTATAATTGTTTTAGCTGGAACATTTCCTTGCAACGTTTCCTGAAAAATATTTAAGAACGGTCAAAAAATGTCCCAAATCTATAATGTCGATATACAGTCTCAACGATATTCAAGTGGAAAATGTTTCGAGTGATTATATCCTTTGAGATTTATAGAAAAAAAAATATGTAATGAAAATACAGAAAGAATATTAATGAAACAATAATACTGTGATTTAAATAAAATATACACGGAACTGAGAAATATTTATTTGAATGTAAAAGGAGATAAATAAATACATGATACAAATGTACCAAAATCGTTTTTTCTACTCGACTATCTATATTTACTGGTTTTTTAACAGTCTCTAGAAAGTATAGGTACCGGTCTGGCAAATGAATATCTTACAGGCCAATTTTAATGCGATGGAATGAAATGTCAAGAAAAAAAGTCTAAGGATGATTAGAGAACGAAAACGATTTACCCCATTTCTTTTCCAGCATGGAATAGGCATTTCATCCTATTGCATTAAAATTAGCCCATAAAATGTTTACTTGTCAGACCTGTAAAAAACTGATGGGATATATTTTTATATTTAACCTAGGTAGTTGGTATATGGAATGCAATGAGTGATTGCCTTTAGTAGGTCGTAGAAAAAATCAACAGTATGTACAATGGATTTTCCAAATCGCACTCAGGCGATTGAACACTCCTCCTGGGGCCCGATTCTCGTCTCAGGGAGAGGAGAGCTCCCCGAGAGAACAAATTTTTCGTCTTTATCATTCTCGTTCACTTTTCGATTACGTTGACAAGAACAAAAGATCCGTTCTCTCGGGGAGCTCTCCTCTCCCTGCGACCAGAATTGGGCCCCTGGAGTGTTCAATCCTCGTCATCGTCCGATATGGACATCATGTCCACTCACATACTACCTAGTATTTTCAAGTGTTTGTACATAACCAAAATTTTCTAAATATTATTTCTTCTTTTTCATCGGCGTTATCTGTTCCGGATGTTGGTTATCATCTTGACTATGCGCGCTTTATTGTCTGCAGCGTGGAAGAGTTTTTCTGAGGACCTCTTTGTTGGTTACTGGGTTGACCCAATTGCTTCAGACAACCATCAAGAATATATTTCAACTGAAAAAATATAGCATTTTATCATTCCCTTGTTGAAGTTCATGCTGACAGCAGAGAAAATGCTTCATTTGTGCAAACATTGTTCTAGCCTTTTCGATTCTACACTTTATTTCTTTGGACTGATTCATGATTCATTGATGTTATCGGGTCTTCAAAAAAAAAAACAATCAAAGTAAGTAAGTAATATTTTTCACAAAACATCCCCCCTTAGAAATGTAAGTCCTATGAGAGACGTCAGTCTAGTCGTTTCAGCTTTCCCCTCCAATCACTAGAGGCGCTTCAATCAACCTATTAAAGTTTTCTTTTTCCTGCCGGACCGTGCGCCAAGAATTGAAGTTTATTTTGTCATTTTCAGTCGTCAAAATTTAAATTTTGAACTTCTCCCAACATTTAGAATAATCAATTACCTATCAATTATCAATAATTATTATCTCAAAATGTCTTCTCCCAGTTTGTTAATTGAAAAGCATCACAAATGCTGTGTTCCGGGGTGCGGCGACAAATACAGCAGCTATTTCCGGTTTCCAAAAGATGCCGAAAAAATTAAACAATGGCTAATAAAAGTTCGCAATCCTTTACTAAATAGCCTCAGTGTCGCGAAGGCTTATAATAATTATAGAGTGTGAACAAGACATTTTCCTCGAGAATTTATTGTTGGCGATCCAAAAGCCAGACGAGGACTCACATGGAATGCTGCGCTTTTGCTGTATCTCCCTGAAGGTAAGTTAATACTAGATATATGTGAGAAAGACGTACTTACATTTTCACTTACTCCTCCCCATAGTTCTGATTAACGACAACGTGTTAGAATTCGGGTATAAAGGAGCATAGGTCAGAAACATTAAAATTAATTTTAATTTTAGCCCCAATTATCAAAAACAGTGAGGAGTCGTTAATTGATAAACCACAATCACCAAAATGGCAAAAAGTGGAGATCGACACAGTTGAAACTCGTCGAAGAGTCCTAAGACGCCTTCAGAAATCAGTTTCGCAACTATGATTGGCATAGGTAGGTAAACATAATAACTCTGTTCCAACACGTCAAAAAATCGTCCCATGAACGGTTTCGAAACCACTCAGTATAACAATTTTAGTTTCTGCGCAGAATCGTGACGGTACATTGTACGGTTTTCTGCTGTGTTGGAACAAAGCTAATATTATTCATTTCTTTTTTTTAATGTTTATTCCTTTATCAGGAGACACAATAATTAAAATATTCCTGGTTACATACAGGTACACCATATTCTAAAATGCGTGTATCCAAACTTTTTTGGTAGAATCATTGGTAACAAAATTTCTGTTTTAGATCAACCAGGCCCTTCATGTCGTCAATTTTTATCTACTGAAACTTCTGCAATTCGGGCAGACATTGCTACACCAAGTGGAACCATCACATCTGCAAACATGAAAAAGTCACCAACCAACTTTGTCTCTTAAAACTTTTATTGGTAGGTACCTAAGTGTTATTGCTTAATGAATAACCACCCAGTTGGGAGTAGGTGAATTTTAAAACATCCTAACTCAAATAGGACTACTACTATAAAAGACTACTAAATTAGAAGCTAAATGTGCGAAAAGCTCGTCTCCAATCTTGATCTATTTTTTTTTGCAGGTCATGAGAGACGATGCCAAATTTTAAAGAACATTAACGTCACTAGGCAAAAATTCCTATCCCCAAGCCAACCAAATTTCAAAGGCTCGTAGACCACGTCAATCCATTGATATACAGCTTTATTTTAAGCCAAGTCCGTACTCAAAACCAAAAGCCTAAAGCTAGACGATTTACATTGGACGAGAAGTTGTTGGCGTTGTCTTTGCTTAAAGCTAGTGGTGAAGGGTATAGACTATTATCAAAAATATTTATTCTATCATCCAGGCGAAATCAGTTTCTTGAATGAGCTTTATATTATGTATAACTACATAAACTTTCTACCGAACACATGCGGAAAGTGTATTTTCTGGACTTAAAGGCTTGTCCGAACTCTGCTTTTTGTTGTCATTCATGCAACTTCCATCACGTGCAGAAACACTTTCCTCACTTGTTAGGTTAACAACGATTTTGGATTGTGAGAAAAGGACCTCTTTTGTCATTTTATTTACGATTTAAGTTTTTCATCAAGCTATTGTTAAATGTACATCATTACTTCTTGTAACTGTCATTATTATCTTTAACTTAACTAGCATTACCTACCTATGTATGTATACTTAAATGAAAAAAAACTGTTTCGCAATAATTGTGATTAATTCCATATTCTATTATATTTTCTGTTTCAAACTTTAATAAATATCTAAATTTGTCATCTTAATTCTTAGTCAATTTTACCTTGAAGGCGCTTCAACACTACCGATTTTATGAGTTTCTTCTTTTTGGCACAATTATTTTATGCCAAAAAATGGTAGAAACTTTAAAGTGGTGGTGTTGAATCGCTAGAATCAAACAATGGTGCAAACAATCCACCGGAACGAATAAGATACCGAACGAACCCTAATTGCGTTTTGCATTCGCCAATAAATCCAGAATTACAAAAGCTGACCCCCCCAGTCACTAGAGGCGCTGGAAACTTATAGACAGGTTCTCAACACGGCACTTACCTTTCTAAGGGGGGATGTTTTGTGATATTTTTCTTTAATTTTGACAATGTCAGTCAATGAAATTTATTGTCAAAATGTCATGTCAAAAATCCTGACCAATAAACAAACAATAATGCGACGTACGTTTTCGTAACTAAAGCAATCTTTGATTGTTTTTTTTTTGAAGGCCCGATACAACTAAGGTAAGTAAAATTGGCCACTCTCTGGATAGCTTAATTTTTACATTACAAATACAGCACAACGCGTTGATCAGGGGACTTATTTATAAGTATGTATTTGGTTAAATAGTTAAATATTATTATTACTTTATCTCAAATCATCCATTTTTCACAATTTTTTGCTTTGTTTTGTCGTTATTTAACAATCCTAATTCTGGGGAAATTACCGAGCCCCCTTTTTTCGGATGCAGTCCCTTTGGCGATGAACTTAGCGCTGATTGATGCAAATCAGAGTATTTTACGATTCAGTCCAGGACTTTTGATGGAAATTCGTTGCACAAATTGAGTAGTTCTTGCCCATTACACCCTGTGAAGATTTGTATATATATATATTTCTCTCTTTTCTTCAGTTTATTTAGTTTCTTTGAATTATGTCGTTCTAGAACAAATTTATTCCCCCCGGTATTGAGCATCGAAGCATAAATTTTATGTTTATGTGAAGTACTTCATCCGATTAAATGATTGCTTTAATTATTTATTCGTGGATTTCCAATATTCCTCACCTTATTATCATATTATTAGTTGATATGTCTCGCTTGCTTCTCATTTACCTACCTAGGGCAACATTTAGCCCTGGCGCTTGAATTTAACAACGAATTAAAAATAATCTACAACTACAACTGTCTCTTGAATCTTATATTCTAAGCACTCAAAATAAATGACTAATATATTGTTACGCCGCCAGTGTGTCAAGAATGGGCTGTCAAATATCCTAGAAATTACAGATTCCTATTAATCTGGTAAATTCTACTGAATCGAGAAAAGGAGAGTTATCGCGTGTATTCTAGATTGTACATGAATAGATTTAGGGAAAGGTTTATAAAAAGGCCGGCATTGGTTTGAAGTTTAAGTTTCAGTTTGACCGTGATACGATTTAAATAGTGATTATTGTTGTAAAGAGTTTAATTGTTGGGTTAATTATTAAAGTAATTAGTGTCAGAGTGTATTGTTACGTGGAATAAATTATTGTTGTGTTAATTGGACTTTGATTTTTGGAATAAACGAAACGAACCCAAGATTTCTGTCAGGCAATCCAAAGCTGTGACAATATCAAACCTGAATAAATAAAATAAAAAGTATTTGCCATTCAATGAATATCCTATATTTTACATAAAATACTAATATTACTCTAAAATTTACATAACTTCGAAAGACACGACACATATTGTTTTTATGTAATTTCAAATCATTTAAATTTAAATCCCATTCGAGCCAGCTAGCAGGCACCAAAATATAAATTGAAAACGATATTGATTGATTCGATGTTTCGAAAATGTAACCGTTACGGCCAGTGAGAGAGATTTACGATAGGTAATATTAAATCGATGTGTCTTTAGGGGGATTTAGTGGTGGTGTTGGGATTTATTTTGCCCTATAGTAGCGCCTTTGATAAAGTTCACACTCGGACTGACATCGAGAAAGGTAATAAATTTTGATTTGAATTTGTTTAGAAACATTGGAGTTCTTGTAAGATTGGTAGTTGTCCGTTATCTAATTCTACTGACACGATAAATATATTAGGAATGGATTATTCAGCCAGGGACCTCAAATATATCTTATTATAGCAAGTGAACAAGTATTGTTAACAATGCAGTATAAATAAACATGCTATTTTATTTCAACGGGTTGTATTCGAAAGAAAAATCATTAGTGTTTTTTTTTTCCGTAAGCAGCCCTTTCGTCAGTTGTGTGAGAGTAAAATAATTGCATTTTCCATTTTCACCTGGGGCAAACTCCTATTTATGTGGAAGTCTAAATGCTATTTTTGCAGGCGTCCTGCTTGAACAATGCGGACAGCAAAACAAACGACTCGATTCACGAAAACTGAAATCGTTCATCTATCAAATAGATTCTCTTTAGGGAAATCCAAATGAGAATTCCATGAATTTGTCAAAGAATAAAAATTTGCCATCTTTATTATTGCTCAAACTTGATTGAATCTAAATAGGCAATATGTACAAAAATCTCCACATCCATGAGTTTTAAATTAAAATCTGCATTTTCCTTTTGACATCGGCTATAAACTTCTCAATAAGAAAACTTTTGAATTTTGACAACTCCGACCACAGTATTTGGGAAGATGTAACTCGGCCACCCGACACAGTCTCTGCCAAAACCAAACAAAAATATTTCTATTATTATATATATACTGACACTAGGAGAGCCCAAAATTCCGACTAAAGAAAGTGAAATAATCTAGTTCCATTGGACACAAAGGCATTGTTTCACCTTTGTCAAGCGAAACGGCATTGTCGGAATGTTTTGGCTTGATCCGAACCGCTAATATTCTAGGAGGCCTGTGAAGCGTGGCTTTCAGTTCGAATAAACCGAAATATTTGTAGGGAGGCTTCAGTAATAGGGTAATAGAGACTTTGGTAATAGTCTAAGGGCTGGTAAATATTAAATTATATGTCGTACTTTGATATAAATTATAGTGATAAATGCGGGTATTTATAACATAGTCGAATATGGGGGTTAAGAAGCAGCTCCTTTGCGGTAAATTCAGTTGAAATAAGTCATTGAAATTAAAAATAAATTAATGAAATTATCACATTCATCTTGGATCTGATAATACTAAAAACTGTTCGTAGGAGTTCCAGCTCGAACGATCACTCACTACAGTTGAAGTACCTACCAAGCATACATTTCAAACAATCTTGAGGTATGAAGAATTTCACTTTACTCAGTTGAAAAATAATGAAAAAAAAGTAAGAATCAATAAATATAACTAAACATTTCTGTTAAACGACAAAAGAAACATAAGCTCTTTACGAAACCAACTTCATAATAAACACCGGAGCTGAAGAAAACAGCTCCCATTGTACGTTTGAAAATTCAAATTAAATTCAGTATAGCATTCCCCTTTGGTCTCAAAATAATAATGCTCCTTTCCATAAAAGCAGAGCCCTAGACTTTTTATATTTATTTTAGGGCGTTTGGTATTATACAGTCTGCCTTTCACTGTATTTTCGGCTCGTTATTTGAACTGTGATTCTATTGTTGAAAATTGGTTGTAAATAAATATATGGTGTACTTTCGAAGTATTGTCAGTCATTGTTCAGTTAAAACAACCTCACCTTATAAGACCATTACAAAAAAAGATTGCACGCATTACGCGATTTTGTTTAAATCCCCTGTTCGGTCTCAATGAACAATTAACTTTAAAATTATGCTGCACCAGCCTACTAGCATCGCTTAGAAGTGAGGTGAGGCTGTGAAGAGTCCTTCCCTTCAACTAGACTAGACAATCCACATCCTCTACCTAACTTACTTTTCCTACAACTGCCGCTGAAAATGGAGTTTTTCGCACGATAGGCAACCTCTGAAATTAAAGTTTTTCACACGCATTTCAGCGTGCGAAAAAGTTTTTCACACGCATCAAATTTTCTAACAAATGAAAATTACATATTTGGTGGTTTTATTTTACAGTTGTAGGAGAAGCATTGTAAAAAACTCGTTTGAAAACCTTTTTTCACACTCGCTCGACTTGTGGAACTCGCCTACGGCTCGGTCCAACAAACTTTCTCGCCGTGCTATTGATCTTTGGGTTTAGGCGGTTTTTGGACTTTGTGTTTTGAAACTGATAACCAGAAATATTCGCGACAAAATGCAAAAACTCAAAATTATTTAATATCAAACCATAAGATAAAAAATCATGAGAAAACATGACATCTCATGTAAAATCATGAAGAATGGCAACGCTGCCCGGTCTACCATCAATGTTTCCCAATGTAGTTATAACGTACTTATTTTGGCAATTGCCTAATTATACTGCATACGGCTAGTCAGCATCAGTTCGGCGGCCATGGGTCTATGGGTTCCTTGTATACATCTTACCTTTGGGCGCCACCAAGTTAAATGTGACTTAACTAGGAAGATTACTTATTGATGTTATAACAAAACTTGTACAATTGGAGCGCTTAACAATAAAACAACTAATTAGGTACAATAATGTATCTGGCTTTCTTTATTAAAAAATAATAACAATAATAATAAGGCGCCAAAAAGTGTAGCCACGAAGTTATTAAAAAGGTGTTTAGGATTAGGCTTGTACCTAATTTGTGAATATTTGAATAAATAAAAAAATGTAAATAATGAATATATGAATTTAAAATAAACAGTTTTAACTGTTTATTAACACTTGTGAAAGATTAAAAGAACAGTATGGGTTACAGTTTACCAACAGGCAAATTAAACACAGAAAGGTGAAAGTTATTCTTTGGGCAACCTCAGGGTAAAATTCTAGAATATTATTTAAGGGGCACTTACCGACGTAATTCGGTGTCAGATGATTTATATAACATTTGCCTAAATAGTAAAGGTGCAACTTACATGTATACAAGTGAAATGTATGTGAAAATCCAGAAGTTTCCAAAGTGAGATTATCTACAGGTTTGGTCTCACTATAGATAGGCTAAGGTATGGTAAGTGAGTCATGAGTCCTATCCACGTTGTATCTGTTTAACGTAGAACCCAATGTGGTTCTAGCAGAGTGGTATCAATAGAGTTGCTGACGAAAGGCTACCAAAGCCCCAACTGAGAGCAATCTAGATCCAGTCTAGAATCTCTCTAAATACAGCTTAGCAACTGTCCAACTATAGCCTCAGACTGTCTAGCTACAGCCTAGAACTAGGACTAGGAGTAGGAGTAGGATTGTCCAACTATAGCCTGAGACTAGGATTGTCCAACTATAGCCTGGGACTAGGACCCTATAACGATGTTCGTATAAGAAAACAAATCGAGTCCCAAATATTAGAAATAATCTTACCTCAAAGGGATACTCTAGACCAAAGGTGAAGTCTTAAACTTCCAAATGCTGCAGGAAATCTTGAATGCAATTTTTTTGCATGCAAAAAATTGCATTCAAGTTTTCTTGCACGTCGTTTTACACCTTGCAATTTTACTTGCTTCCTTCTCTAACCTCAACCATACTTTTTTGTTTTCAATTTTGTGTTGTTGATGTT